TTTCCTTCCGATTACCATAAACGGGTTTTTGAAATTTAACGGGTATCATACCGACCTTAGGTAATATATTACAATGAGTAAATGTTTCGTTAACAAATTCCGAATGTATGTTAAGTAATTGTCTTTCTAAAATTAATGCGCTTTGACGTCCTGCACAACAAACAAACAAACAAATTATTATTAAATTTTTTTAATTTTCTCAGTAAAAATTTTATCGGTATTTACTCGACATGTCCATCCAAACGGGTATCAAACTATTATATATCGTTTCATCCGTTGAACCATCTCCATATTCTAATCTGTTTTCGAATTCTTTCGAATAGTTTTTGTTAAAATGTATTACGGCAATTAATTTACCCTTTTTTGCATCTTCCAAAGCGCTTAATTTATCCCTGTATGGAGTCTGTAATAATAATAATAATAATTTTTATTTTCAAGGAAAGCAATACGACAAAAACGACAGGAAATGAAATATTTAATGATAAGTTCAAGGTAAGTAATTTTACATGTTTAACTTATACGCCGGTCAATATTATTGAAATTATTTTTCCACAATTATTATCATTATCATTAGTTCACACAACCTTTAAACGTTTTATGTTAGTACTCACTTTAATAATCATTTCGTCTTTTATTTTATTTAAAAATTTACAAGAAAGTCCTTCCATTTTACAATATGATATGCCATCCTCTTTAGTTATATTTTGACTACCGTATTCGTTCCCAAGGGAATTTATCAGGTCGTTACATGATGTAAAATTTCCCAATTCTTCATTTACAACACCTAATTTTAATCCTTTCGGGTGTCCTCCGACGGCCAAATAAAACGAACATAATTCCAACATGGGAAAAAAGAAAATAAACATTATCGCTCTGAAAATAATGATAATGATAAGTGGTTCGCAAAGAGATTTTTTTTCTATATTATTATTATTATTATTACTATTTTACCCCGGATGACGCGTTATCCTGTACCAATTTTTCGATAGCAAAGCTTTGGCGTGACCTTTTGCTATGCATTTAAAATTTTTCTTTTTATATTCATTCGAATTATCATACGTAAGATCTTGGAGTTCTATGTTTTCCCTTCTGTTTTCCAAAGTTTCTAATGACACGGTAGATTCTGGAAGTTCACTTTTACTCCGACAACTCGTATTACCTTCGTTAAAATTATGTACGGTTGAATTGGTAACCTTTAAATTGATTATTATAACGAACCGTGAGATAATGAAATGTATTATATTAATCATCATCATCATCATTATTAATACTATTATTATTATTATTATTATTTACTTCCTTACGTTTGGAGAATTCATTGGTATTATATTTTGTATTGTTTGTGAAATTTCATTTAAATTTTCATCTTGTCGAGAACTCAGTTTGAGAAAAACATCTTCCAAACCGTAACAATTATATATGTTAAGGAGTCTATCCGGTGTGTCTTCTGCTAATAATTTTCCATTTCTCATAAGGCCGATCTAAGCGATTCGGAAAAAACAAAAAAAAAAAAAAATCATTTTCGACTTTTTAAACATTAACAAAAAAAAAAAGAATTTATACCATTAAGAAAACTAAATGAGCGCCTTATTAAAATAAATTGGCTTTTTTAGTTAGTTTAAAGTTATTATTTTGCCTAATCACGTTTTTTGCAGGCGTTTTTTTTTTAAAAAAATAATAATTTCATTTTCTACGTTGTTGTTTCGAGAAGTATAAGTTCATTATTATTAAGCACGTAAGTTAAATTAGTTATTAACGTTAACGAGAAATATAAATAAATTTTTTTTTTTGTTGTTTGTTTGCACTTTTCTGTAATTATTAATTTAAAAAAAAAAAAAAAAAAGAAAAAAGAAAATTTAAAATATTTATTATCGCCATATTCGCGATAGTGGTTAAAAACTTTTTTATACACGATACGGAATAATTTATGAAAAGTTTTTAAAGAAAAGTTTAATAAGTTTAATAAGAAAATTTAAAATGACTTTATATTAAAAGGCCAAACGAGGCCTATTAAAACACGTAATTATGTATTCAAAGTAATTTTATGGCTTTATTAAAAATTTATTAACATAGTTTTAAAAAGTTTAAAAAAAAAAAATTACGTTAATTTTTTACCTTGTGAGCTTGTCGCGCTTCTTCTATATAATGAGTCGTTATAATAACGGTTTTTTTATGTTTGTTAACTTGGTCTAAAAGATAATCCCAAATTTTTTGCCTTAATACCGGATCTAATCCAACCGTCGGCTCATCTAGAATCAATAATTCCGGATCCTGTACCTGAAAAACAAATCGTAAAATAAATAATTCTTCCTCCTTCTCGCCGGATAGAAAAGAAAAATTTGTTTTTGTTTTACTCACCAGAGACACGGCAAGTGATACCCTTCTCTGTTGACCCCCGGATAAATTTTTAATTTGTGTATCAGACGGAGGAAGGTCAAGAAGTTCTGATAAAAAATCAATTCTGACATTTATCTCATCGTTATTCATACCGTAAATCCAACCGAAATGATTTAAAGCATCTCGTATCGTAAATTGTCTCATCAATGCTATTTCCTATAATATAAATTTTAAAGATTCCTCTTACCCCCCTTTGTTTTTTTTTTCGTATTCCTTTAAATTTTATCGTACCTGAGGCATGTATCCTAATCTAGGTCCTGGAACTCCACTTTTACGACTTCCCGGTTTACCACCTAAAACCCATATTTCTCCCGATGTGATGCTTCTTCTTCCGACAATACACGTGAGAAGGGTTGTTTTCCCACATCCGCTTGCTCCCAATAATCCATATCTTTAATTAAATAATTAAATATTTAGGTTATTCGACGTATGTTGTTTTTTTTTTTTATTATCATTAACCGATAAAACAAACAAACAATAATTACAACAAACGGTTGTTAAAAAAAAAAATTAATTAAAAAATAATTGTATTAATTATTTCGTGTACGATAATGATGAAGAAAGAAAAACGAGAAGAAGAAGAAAAAAACGTTGTTATTATTATTAATGAATAAATATTTAACGTGGTAATAGATAAAAAAAAAAAAACCGATTTTCCAGTCGCCATTTTATCTTACATTGTTCCTTTTTCAACGGTCATATCCAAATTATTTAATATAAATTGTGATTTTTTAGATTTCCCATATTTTTTACAAACTCCTCTCACGAAAACTGCTTTTTCTTTTTTTTCCATCTTTTGAACCTGGAAAAAAAAGAGAAAAACGATTGATTTGTTTTCTATCTCTCTCTCTCTATCTCCAAACCCGGAATTTTTTTTTTTATATAACGTCTGGAGAAAGTGAATGATAATATTTACTAGATTTCTTTTTCCGTCGTCACTTTTTATCACTGAATTTTTTTTTTTTTTTTTCGTGTCAAGGTTTAATCGTTGATACCACGAAAAAAAATATTTTTTTTACGCGTATCTTTTTTTTTTCATATCACGTGACACGACATTTTCAGTCAAATTTGTATGTAAACCTTTCCGGTTATTGAAAAAAAAATAAAAAAATAAAATGACTCGTTTGTCATGTTTTTTTTTTTTTTTTTTTTTTTTTAATACCACGAAATATCATTTTAATGAGAAAGAGAGAGAGAGAGAAATGGGGGGGGGGGGGAAATGCAAGACAAGGACACAAAATGTCGACTTTGTTATTCTCTCTTATATAATCTTTAAAAAAACTTCCTAACAGGTACAGACCGACCGGTAATCAAATAATTTTTTTTTTTTTTTTAACACATTGCAGATAATATTACCGGTCTGAGAAGAAAGTTTTCATTATTATTATTATCATCATCATTATTATTATTATTTACTAATTGAAAGTTGATTTAAAAGAGAAACAAACGAAAAAAAAATCTCCTGGCATTTATGATTTCTCTCTCTCTCTCTCTCTTCCGTTTTCATTTACATCCCTTTTTTTTTTTTTTATCATGATACCTTATCATTGATGACGTCATATGTTTACGGTGGTGGTGTCAACTCGTTAATTTTCCGCCATATTTTTAATTTTTGTAAAACGTAATTAAAAAAAAAAAAAATTTTTTTGTAACCTAAATAATTATCGTGTCAACAGGATCGAAACCTGTGTAAATAAAACAAAAAAAATTTTTTTTTTTTTTTTGTTTATATTGCAGCTGTCGATAGACAAATAAATTTCATTTTGTCAAATTAAATAATTTCAATTATTATTATCATTATTATTATTGTGTCAACGTGGCGGCAGATGATGATAACGAGGAAACCGACGACGACGAGAAAAATTTTTAAATTTTATCATTACGGGAGTTTTCTTTTTTTTTTCGTTTAATTTTATATAATTAAAAAAAAAATTTTTTTTTATTGTTTTTCCAAAATACAAACAAACAAACAAACAAACAATACGCGCGACGTCATCATTTTATTAATAATAATGATAATAATAATTTGAAAAAATTTGAAACAGGTAAAAAAAAATTTATTTTTATTTTTTTTTTATTAATCGAAAGTGAAATTTTTTTTTTTTATTTTTATTGTTCAGGTATAAATAATTATTAGAAATTTTTTTAAAACATCGTGTCTTTAGATGGCATTTTTTTTAAAAACAAAATTTACATTTATTATGATTATTATTATTATTGACCTTGGCAAAAAGAATTTTCGATGGGCCTAAATTATTATTTACCGTGACCGTAGAATTCCATCAGGCCTTTCATTTTTTTTTTTTTTTCTTAAGTAGGTCTTTTATTAAATTGTTTAAAAAAAAAAACAAATCAATCAATCAGTCAATCAATTGATAATAATAATAATAATTTCGTGAATGTCGTGGATAAATTTTATGTGCGAGAGGATCGTGTTCGAACGAACGAACGTGTCAATAAAAAAAAAAAAATTTAATCATTCACACCCTACCTATATATTCAATTTATTTAAGTGCGAATCTTATTAAAATTTACTACGCATTTACTTTATGTATTATTATCATTATTATCATTGTCATTATTATTATTATTATTATTTGAAAAAAACGTTTCCGGAATTCGAATTCGAGAAAACAAAACGAAAAAAAATTTTTAAATGCCTTTATTGAAACGTGCCAAATATTATATTTATTATATATAAATAAGGTTTTAAAGTTTCCATGTTTGTTTATTTTATTATTATTATTATTATTATCATTATTATTATTTGTCTTAAACGGGTGTCGAAATTAATTTTTACCTTTTATTATTATTAAAAAAAAACATTTATTTACGGAAGGAAAAATGCGCGACCACCACGAAAACAAAAAACAAAAATTTAATAATAAAAAATTAACGAATTTTAAATTAATAATAATAATAATAATAATAAAGAAGCAGACGACGAGTTTTGACGTCACCCGAATGCATTTCATAAACAGGAAAATAAAATTTTTTTTTTTTTTTCGGGTTTAAAACTCGAATTTTTTAAAAACGTTTTGTGAGAGAAAAAAAAAAGAAAGTTTTGTAAATTATTATTATTATTACCATCGGGAAATTTTCGTGGATTTTTTTTTCGGGGGGGAGCGGGGGATGGGGGTTGGGAAGGAAAAGAGAGAGAAGAGAGGAAACGAAACATTTTTTAATTGGTAACGAAAACCTTCCCCCCAAGAAAAAAAAAAAAAAAATTTAAAATAAATGGTGATAATGATGATGATAAATACACACACAGCGAGATTTTGATGTCACAAAGGTCACGTGTACCGTTAAATAATAATAATAATAATAATAATAATAATAATAATAATAATAATAACATATCATTTAACCTAGAAACAAAAAATTTTTTTTACGTAATATTTTTTTGAGTTAAAAAACGTGAATGAATCGAAATTCCGAAAAAAAAAAGAAAAAATTTTAAATATTTTTTTTGTTCTGGTTAATAATCGATAGATCGATAATATCGATTGCTAAATCGATCGTCCATTTTGTTTTTTAACTTAAGTAGGGTATATCGTACCTGAATGTGATATTTTAATCTTTCTATAGTAACATATGAATCAATCAATCAATCAATCAATGAATCACAATGATTTAAAAATTTTCTCTATTATTGTTATTATTTAAACTTCCATCCTATGAATAATTTTTAAATAATTATCATTATTATTATCATCATCATCATCATCATCATTCGTAACGTTTCGAAATCGGCCTAGAAAAAAAATATTTTAAAAACAGGTCAACGAATTTTAAAAAAAAGGTTCGCCATCTTTTTTTTTTTATATTTTGACCACCCATTTTAATTATAAATAATAATAATAATAATAATGATAATGATAATAATAATAATAATTTTTTTTAAAATCCAGTCGAAAACTATTTTCTCATCGAGTAAATCATCATTATTATTAATAATTAAAAAAAAAAATCTCAGTTATTTATTTAGCGGTTTTTTATTTTTAAATTAATTATCACGTGATCAATTAAAACGTTTCCGTATCCGTTTTTTTTCTTAACGTTCAATCGAACGAAAAAAAAACACACACAATACCGGAAGTGTTTTTATTATATAATAATAAACGTTAATAATTAGAACGAGGACGATTTCGTTATGTTGTTGTTATTATTATTATTATTATTTTTTGCTAATAATAAATTGTTTAAACAAAAAAAAAAAATAATAATAATGATAATAATAATAATAGATTTTTTTTTGATTCATCGTAAAACGCGAATTTTAATCTTAACTTTTTTCTCTTAGCAAAAATTATTATCATTATCGAAAAAAATTATGATAAAAATTTGATTTATTTTTTTTTCAGGTATCTAGGTATCATTATTATTATTATCAGTCGGTACTCTGTTATCAGTTCGTTGCAGTTTGTAAGGGTAAGTTATTATCATTAATTTTTTTTTTTTTCGTTTGGTTTGGTTAATTGTGCGGACGTAGTGGAATTTTTTTTTTTTTTATAAGAGGAACGTTTTCGAATGTGTCAATGCGACGACATTTTTAAATAATAATAATAATAGTAGTAGAAGTAATAATAATAATAATAATAATAATAATAATAATTACCTTAAATAAATTAAAAGGGAGAAACTCACGCGCACAAAGTTTCAAAAAAAAAAAAAACTAAGGTTTTTTGATCACACGTACAAAAAATAAATAAATTTTCATCTGCTAGATTTTTTCATTAGCGTATAGAAAAAAAAAAAACAAACGTACAAACAAACAAACGAACAAACAAAATCGGTATCCTTCTTATATCCGTTACTTTTTTTTAATTATCCGATAGTGTAAATCTCGACATATCCGAAACACAAACACGATACATCACACCGAAAAGAAAACATGATAATAATAATAATAATAATAAGGTTCGTAAATCCGAGTTATCTCTTACAGAGCTGTTTTTATACTAATTCAGGTTTACTTCCTTACAAAAAAAAAATAATAATAATAATAATAAAAAAGAAAAGAAATAAAAAAAAAAAAAAAAAAAAAAAAAGTAGGGTTTGAATCTCTGTGCGAGTGTGTATATGTTTACGTACCTGAATAAGTTTTCTGTTTTTTTTACGTTTAGCTTATGTATTAAGTAGTTTTTTTTATAATTATTTATTTTTTTAAAGGTTTTTAAATTCTTCCGTAGTATTTGTATGCATGATAATAAAAAATTTCTATTTATACTATTATTATTATTATTAATATTATTATACATAGTATTTATAATAATGATGATAATGATTATGATGATAAATCTCGAGTGGTAAACTGTATTATTATTATTATTATTAAAAAGTGATTCGTTTTTTTTTTTCGGTTTTCGTTTTGATTTTGGGGGTGGTTTTGGAATTTTTTTTTCTCCAGGAAACTAAAATTAAAAATGGGAAGCCATTTTGTTTTTCGTTTCTACTCTAAAGTTAATAAATTAATAAAAAAGAATTCGGTGACGGATATGTTAAAATGAAAATTGAAAGTTTAAATAACTTTCGAATCGAAATTTACCAACAACAAAACAACAACCGCGTTAATTAACGATAAGAAAACGTGTCAGTAGAATTTGCGATACGTAGTAGAATCGTTTAACCGTGAAGATTTTATTAATAAATAAATTAATTAAATTTAATTTTATATCGATAGAAATAAACAAACCTGGAATTTTCTTCTTTTTTTTATCTATTACCACTTTCCATTTTCGTCACAACAAACAAACAAACAAATAAAAAATTTTTTTTTACCGAATGCGATTA